AAAAAAAAAAAAAAAAAAAACATTGTTTTGAATAGTGAATTTTTGAGGATGTGTTGTTAAAAAGAAAAATTTTAGATTTAAGTGTAAAATATTTTATTATGTAAATGTGTGATTAAAAATGAATATGTAGAAAAATGAGTTTTGAAAGAATCAAAGGCAAACATAGGCTTAGTTTCAGGTTTCCCATCCCCATTTCATTCCTTCAGTTATCGTCCTTTAAATCAACAGAAATTATCTAGTTTACATCCATGCCTCTGTCGAAATTCCTCCAATTTGGTCTCTATTACGGAGGCCAAACTAAGTAACAGAAAAGCGAAGTAGTCTTGTAATTGGGTATTCTGAATTTCACATTGATGCCAAGGTAGTTGCAGGAGGGAAAGCAAGGAGATTTGTTGGGTTCTGTGGAAACCAAGTGTAAAATATATGTCGACATAGTTGAGAATTGATTATCCAATCTTTGCACATGGAACTTCATAAAAATTTCTGCTTATAGGCCAATTCTCAACGTCTCTTAACGTCGATCATTCCAGCTTGGAATACTCATGGTTAGATGGGGCTAAGTTGCATCCTCTATTGGTTTAATATAATCATCTCTTCATCTCTTGTTTTTTTTTTTTTAAGTGAAAGGAGGGCGCTACTTCCTCGTCAACGACTCGAAGAAAAGGAAATCAAGTAATAAGCTCAACGTGATTTTTTTTCCCAATTTGTTTGACCTAGAAGTAAAGGAAACCAAATAATAAGCTCAACGTGAATTTTTTTTCCAAATTTCTTGTCCTTGAGAGTATTATGAGTTTTTTACACCATCAAAGACCAAGAGAGGAATTTTTACACCTCTACTTCGACCTATTGGGGGTTTGGATTCTCCGACCCTATGCTATACATAACAAAACCCTAATATGCTATGGAGGTGGACATCAAGAGTGAAAGAATAAGAATTCAATATAACTTGAAATCAAGATTATTACTCACATTATAAAAGGAAAATGACAAGAAAAAGAAATCCTTAAGCACATTCCATTAACACTAGCACTGACAATGTAGATAAGGTAAACCTTGAACTTGTAATCTGATTATTCCCACTAGTTTCTAGTTGTGTTTGATATTCTTCTATCATTCTACTTGTTGACCCCAAAAAATGAACTTAACAGATACTGGGCCCACCCTTGCCACGTCGAGCAATGATCTGGCATATTTCTATAGGAACTGAAGCGGTAATATGGTTGGATGGAACGCGGGAAGTGCTTTCCGGCAAGAGACACAACTGTTCAAGCTCCGGTGATTTGATTTCAACGGCTCTTACGCTATTTACAAGAGCTCGATCAATTTCTCTAAAATGAGTATTTGTTTTGTCATGGAATATGTGGAAGGATAAATAAAAAGCAATCGCTTGTAATGTGTTATGATTTCAATATAAATTGTATTATTCAAGATCCAGTAAAGCAAAGTGCATGAATATGTTCTCGTGTCATTTTTTCCCCCTTCCTCTATACAATGAATGCGCACTTGGGCGCTTGCGTGTTACGCTTGGATCTGAGCCTTTGAATGCGGATCGCCAAAGTCTATGAACGGTTCATATCAGAGTCTGGAATATAGGGCTGGATGCCAAAGATCAAGATCTAACGGCTACAGTTGGGCACATCTGTCTGTAAAAGGAGACTGCTCCCCAGAAAAGTTCATTTCCCTTTATTTTTACGTGAACCTCTCCCTACTAGCTTTATCTTCGCATTTGCAAGTGCCTTCCTCAAGATCTCTTTCCTCATCGGAATATCTCTGTAAGTGTTTTGAACCTTCATTGTATTTCATGAAGAATTTCATTTTCATATCTGGATCAATGGCATCTTCTTCTTCCTCTAATGAAAGTGTGGGCATAGATAGGTTGCCTGTTGGGCAAGGGGTGACTTGGCAAGTACGGCCGAGCCTATTAGGGATGTTGAGGCTGGTAGGGGCAATGACACTTTTGGGGAAGGGTTAGGGAGTGAAGATGAAGGCATAGCTTGGGGGGCAGCAAAAATTTCTTCCAACGCTACTCCAACCCTCCTTGCTTTCCTTAGGGTGAAGTATAGGATCCATTATAACATAGAACTTCTAACTCCATCCCCTAACGAGTGATCCTGTTGTCCCAGGCAGGGGTATGTTGCCATCAGTAAGTTCTTACTCAAATCGGGGCTTCGTCTTCCCCTTCATCCTTTCTTCCGAGCCGTCTTTAGACTGTATGGGTTGGCTGCCACCCCCAACTTTTTCCAAATGCTTGGGCCCAGATAGTGGGGTCCTATATCCTGTGGAAGTAGACCTTACTAGGTAAGGACATGCCTCTTTATGTTTTTCAAACCATTTTCCAACCCCACGCGTTAGGTAAGGGCAATTCCAGTGGATGGTACTCCATATGCCCCTGGGGGCACATGCTCCTTTAGTGACTGGCCTCTCCACATCCATCAAGGGGTAGAAAGAGACCTGGTTTTGGGTTAGGGAAAAGTAGCAGGAGTGTGAGGGTGACACTGTTCCCTTTGTCAAAGCTCCGACCTCATACTCCGAGCCCAGTGAGTGTCATTCTCTAATCTCTCTTTCAAATTTATTAAATGATCCTCCTTACTAACCGTAATGTCTGATTTTCAGGGACAGTCGAGTGTTTCAAGCTTGACGGAAGTCACCTAGAGGTCCTTTCAGACATCTATCGTCTGCCATCTTCAACTCGTCACTTTGACAATTTAATTTTCCCCCAACGATATTACGAGAACCTGAACTTGATGACCTCTAAGGGTATGAAGTTCAAGCTAATATTTTCTTTATAACATTTGTTTCTGTTATTTTGTGTGCTTCCGACCCCTCTGCTTGTTCTTTATAGAAACGTTTGATAAGAAGAAACCCCCTACCCCTAATATGGCTACAATCCTGGAATCTACAGGAACCTCAGGTAGAAACGATGTGAAGGAAACCTCTGTTGTGGGGAGGCAGATAAAGATTAAGATTGAGAGGGTCGGTAAGGAGGCTGGCTCTGAAGAGGATTGACCTCTTGTGCCCGAAAGGGGCAAGAAAGTGGCTGTCGAAGAGCCAAAGAAAAAGTTTAGAGTGTCTGCTACCAGAGTAGGCAGCTCTCGAGATATGCCCCATCCACGGTCTGAGGTTCCTTCCGAGGAGAAGCTCTTTGCAACCTCAATAGCTGCAGCGTCTGGAGGTCAGAAAAGACCCGCTTCGTCCGAGCCACAAGGACAAGCACTAACCAAGAAGAGGCATGCCGAACCTACTACGTCTGAAAATTTGCTGGGAAAACCAGCCATCCTTGGTCGGCCTAATGAGCTTATGCCTGAAGCTCTTTCCCTCCTCCGTCCAGAAGTCCAAGCAACTTTGGCGACCTTCCACAAATATTGGACTGAGAAGTGGAAGTCCTTCATTGAGAGAAGGGATGCGGTGGACGTCGTGGCTATAGCCTTGGCCTATTCTTCGCTATCCTATGGATTGATGATAAAAGTGGAGGCACTCTTCAAAATTCTTCAAAAGAAAAATCAAGAGTTTGTGAGGAAATCTACCCAGTCTGAAGAGGTAGCCAAGAAGGCCAAGCCGAGGCTGAAGCAGCAATGAAAAGAGAGTCAGAGGTGTCTACCAAGTTTGCTACCGTTATGGCTGCCAGTGAATCTTTGAAGAAGGAAGTTCATCTTTCTCGAAGTGAAGTGGTCACTTTAACCAAGCGGGTGGAGACATCGGACTTCAGTAACAAGCGTGCTGCTGAAGCTCTCGAGAAGGTCAGTAGGGAGAATGATGAATTGAAACAGAACTGACCAGGTTGCTGGCCTTACTGAAGAAGTAAAAACAGTCCACAACGACGCTAAGCTTCAAAGCAAAAACGCCGAATAGAGTTTCCTAGCCAATTTTCACCTCACCAAGCATTACCAACGCTTTCGTGCCTATTGGAGGAGGTATGCTTACAATGAAGTTATTGACT